TGCAGGGCTGCCTGCCCACAGCAGCTGGCCACCCTCCAAACATGCCAGGGCACAGCAAGCTGACAGCAGCAGAGACACTGTGACTCCCAGACAGAGGAGGGGGTCCCGGCGGGGCCAGCAGCCCCGACACACCATGCTGTCACATCTCCTGCTTAGGGACAACCATGTTCCCCCTCCAGAGGACAGCAGGTCACTGCCACATCCAACAGGGGGCCAGAGGGAAGCGGGGGCTCCAGGAGGAGCACAGGAGCGGGTGTGGAGGGATGAATAGGAGTGCAGGCACCAGGAGGAAGGCACTACAGGCAGCGGACTTGGAGAAGGGGGGCTGGAGAGGCTGGGGAGCAGGCGATCAATGAGGCGGATGCCTGCTGCGTGGAGCTGCTGAGGGTGCACTGATGGGGGAGGCAGGTGGAACGTGGGCAGACAGAGCCCACCCAGGTTCTTGTGGTGGTATGGAGGCTGCAGGTCTGGTGGGAGCTATGGGGGGAGGGAATGAGGGAGAGGCCCTGCCCAGAACCCTGGCCACAGCACAGGGTCTCCTGGCCACTGACCTTGACCTCGCTGGCCTCGTCCCTCTGCCCACAGGTCCCAGGGGCTGCCCAGGCCTGAGGGTCTCCACAGTGCCTCTGTCCCTCCACTCTGCACCGGGATGAACTGGAAGAGGAACCAAGAAGCCCAGCCCACTCTCCACCCTGCCCCAGAGCCCAGGACCCTGCTGTCAGGGCACCATTTCTGCCAACCTCATGGCACAGAAAACCTTCCTTCACTGGCAGCACCAGGCTCCTGATGCGGGTGCCCTCCGGTCACGCGTTCAGAGGAGGACCACGGGTGACCACCCAGGTCCCGGGGGCCTGGAAGGAGGGAGGGTCCGCCAGAGCCACTGAGTCCTGCGAGGGAGGGACAGCCTGCGGGGTGCCCGCCACACAGGCAGTCAGCCTGAGAACCGGGCAGGACCAGACAGGCGCAGCGGAACCAGTCTGAGCCACAGGTGAGGGGCGCTTTAGCCCCCGTGAGACCCCACATGAGGCATTCCTGAGCCTGGGCCTCTGCGCGTAAGGGGTCCTCGAGTCACCCCATCGCCATCGCCCTGTTCCCGCACCTGCTCACACCCCAAGATCACGCCCGGGAACAGCCAAGGACCAACCAGTGCAAGGCCCAGGTCCGAGCGGCCTGGAGACAGAGGAGCCCAGTCCGCCCTGACTCGGCCCTCCTCCGCCGCGTCTTCCGACAGGCTTTCCGCCGAATCTGCCCAGCGGAGGATCCGCGGTTAGGGCGACTTCCGGCTCTGCGCTCGACCCCGCCCCAGCCC